GCGCCCCACGAAGAGCGCCCGCCGCTCGCTGTCCCGCTCCATCTCGCAGTCCTCCACAGACAGCTACAGCTCAGGTGGGTGCCACCAGTGCCTCCACCCTTCCTCCTGGTGCTCAGCATTAAAATGTTGAACATTCTTCAAAAGCAAATCCAAATCTCTTACCGTTCTGGAGGTGCAAGAGAGGTCTGGGTGTCAGAGCATCATCTCTGCAAAGAGCCTCTGCTTTCTTGATCTTGTTGCCCGTCTGAACTGAATATGTTTGGCCAAAATTGTCCACTGGTCTTCCAAACCATGCACCAAGTTACCAGAAGCAGGAGTTCAACAAGCGCCCCACGAAGATCGGCCGCCGCTCGCTGTCCCGCTCCATCTCGCAGTCCTCCACAGACAGCTACAGCTCAGGTGGGTGCCACCAGTGCCTCCACCCTTCCTCCTGGTGCTCAGCATTAAAATGTTGAACATTCTTCAAAAGCAAATCCAAATCTCTTACCGTTCTGGAGGTGCAAGAGAGGTCTGGGTGTGGGAGCATCATCTCCGCAAAGAGCCTCTGCTTTCTTGATCTTGCTGCCCGTCTGAACTGAAAAGGTTTGGCCAAAATTGTCCCCTGGTCTTCCAAACCATGCACCAAGTGCCAAGTTGTGATGTGGAGCAGCCTGCTCCAGGATGCAACCTTTGCCAGGAGCAATCATGGGAAAAATGAGGGTGGTGAGACCCTGGTCCAGGTTGCCCAGAGAGGTGGTAGATGCCTCATCCCTGGAAACACTCCAGGTCAGATTGCATGGGATGCTGAGCAACCTGATCTAGTTGAAGATGCCCCTGCTCACTGCAGAGGGGGTGGACTAGATGACCTAAAAGGTCCTTTCCAACCCAAATTATATGAGAAACCAGCAGAGACACAGTTGAACATGAAACTTTTCTCACTTGGTTGTTGAAAAGCGCGAAGAATGAGAACAGGAATGATCCGAGCTGATCTGGCTCTTCAGCTTAGACCTGAAAGTCTCTTCTGTGCATTTCCCACAAACCACCTCCTTTCTGTAGCTGTTCCACTTCATTTAGAACGAGTCATTTCTCTCACTGGGGTTATTAATTGTTCTGTGCTGATTGGGAGGAGTTGATACCCTCGAGGTCGCACCGTGGTGATCAACAGCCTCTGCCAACCATGGGAAGGCCCCGACCTGCCAGCCCAGCCTGGGGATATTTTGGCAAATAACTGAAATTTCAGAAACTTCTTTCCCTTTCTGCAAAACTCAGATAATTGTCACAAAGATTCCTTTTTTTTGGGGGGGAGAGAATCAGGTGGTTTCAACCACCCTGGCACTTCGAAGCGCTCAGCGTTACCCACCGTGGCCACGTCGTGTGGGCCCTTTAATGAGATTAAAACACTTAATATCTTTAATTAAAGGCGATTGGCTTTGGCCTCGTGCTGTTTCATAACTGGGGAAAAGTTGTGCCAAAAAGAAACAAGGGTTGTTTTCTCAGTCGGGCTGGAACAAGAGCAGGTTGCCCCCTTTGTTTTTTAACCAATACTGACGCCGATATTAGAGACGTGAGTGGATCCTCATCTAAAATGCTTTAATTACACCAATAATTAGTGCCAGATGCACTGTCCTGTGTCTACAAGAGTAAAATCTGCATGTGAAAGTCTGGCTGCCACCTAGATGGGGTGTTTTTTTTATTATAAAAGAATTATTTCAGCCCCCCAGGAGCAAGATTTTAAAAGAAACCTCTGCGCAGATTAGTTGTCTTCAAGGAAATAATCCTCCTGGAGTTAATTAATCCTCCTGGAGTTAATGAATCCTCCTGGAGTCCTTGATATTCCAGAGGTTGGAATTATAGAAAGTGCTTTTTGGTTGTTCTGGAGCCCAGGCTGCTGGTCCTTCAAGAGCTGCTGTGGGATTGTGCAGACAAATTGAGAAGTGTTTTGGCATTGGGATGGTGTTGGCAGAGTGGGACTTGCCCTGGCAGCTTGTGGAGGATGGAGTCCTGGCAGAGGAATTCCAGCCCCGTGGAATTCTGCTCTGTGAGAGGATTGAGATCTGAGTGGGTCAGGGGGAGCCTGGCACACCCGCTGAGCTCCTTTCCTTGGGATCCTTCAAGAGGTTCAGGCAAGGCAGAGGAGAAAGTAATCAGCTTGTTGGGTGCTGCAGGGAAGAGAAACCCGTGGTCAGGCTGAGGGGGGAAGGGTTTAACTCCTTGGGTTGGATTTTGTGCTGTGAAAATGTTAACAGGGCTGTTGGAATCATGGAATTGCTTTGGTTGGAAAGACCTTGAAGATCCTCCAGTCCAACCCTTCCCCCAGCCCTGCCAAGGCCACCACTGCCCCATGTCCCTCAGCACCATCTCCAGGGCTTGGAAACCCCTCCAGGGATGGGGACTCCCCCCCTGCCCTGGGCAGCCTGGGCCAGGCCCTGACAACCCTTGCCAGGCAGGAATTGTTCCCCAGATCCAACCTCAACCTCCCCTGGCACAACTTGAGGCCGTTCCCTCTTGTCCTGTCCCTTGTTCCTGGGGAGCAGAGCCTGACCCCCCTGGCTCCAACCTCCTCTCAGGCAGCTGCAGAGCCAGAAGGTCTCCCCTCAGCCTCCTTTGCTCCAGGCTCAACACCCCCAGCTCCCTCAGCTGCTCCTCACAAGTTCTCCAGCCCCTTCTCCTTCTGCTCCAGCCCCTTCCCCAGCTCCGGGGCCCTTCCCTGGACACGCTCCAGCCCCTCCAGGTCCTTCTTGTCCTGAGGGGCCCAGCCCTGACCCCAGGATTCCAGGTTCAATGCACTGACTGTTGTATAAAACAGCTCCCTGAGGTGTTTGGTGTAGATCATTCCCTCTTGGAGGCTCTGCCTGGGAGAGGAGCTGGCTCACCTCACCCCAGTAGCTGTTGAGTTTGACTGTGCAACTTTTCCTGGGAAAAGATGCAACCAGTTTTCTGGTGGTGTGGAAGAAAGAGGGATCATCATCAAGACAGCAAAGAGAGCTCATCATCATGTGCTGCCTTCACACATGCACATTGAGTCATGGAATCCCAGACTGGTTTGGGTTGGAAGGGACCTTTAAGATCATCCAGCCCCATCCCCTGCCATGGGCAGGGACCCCTCCCATAGACCAGAGTGGTCCCAGCCCCATCCCACCTGCCCTTGAACACTGCCAGGGAGGTGGAACATCTCCATCATGTCCTAGTGATGCACAATATTGGCCACCTCTCTGAGGCTGTCATGGATGGTGCTGTTCTACAGAGATGGTCCTCTTCTGCAGTGACAAATGACTTGATCTCTCATCTGGAGAGTAAAGACTGGGGAGTAAAACTTCAGGGCACTTTGAGGAATGAGGGATGACCATATCGATGAGGCTTTTGAGTTGGTTCCCAGGGTGTGGCTCTTGCTGGAGAGAAGGACAAGGAGGTGGTGGTGGTGAGGAGCTCAGCTGGACCAAGGGCCCTGAGCTCCAGGTTCTTTGTCTCTGGAATGGAAAGAGGAGTGAAACCTTCTAGTTCATCTCCAAGCCTTACGTGTTGCTTTGACTGGTGCCACCAGTCCTAGGAGGTGAAGGAGGTCTGGTGTCCCACCAGGGATGTATTCCAGAGGGAAATGTGGCACAAATGGTCTCTTCAGCTGATCTGGATAAACTGGAAGCAGCACTGGTGTTAATTCATGGGACCTGGAATTGAAAATGGACTCTACGTGTGATCTTAGTCATCAAAATTAAAGGGAAGGGGAATTTCCAACTCCATGAGAAGTGAAGCTCTGTTGGGAGGACATTGGTAGGGAGGGAAGACAATTATGGAGAGCAGCTGTAATTAATTCTGAGTCCACACACACCCCCACACCCAGTTGCCATGTATCAGGTCAAGAAGCATAACCTGGTTCTGTGAGACCACGTGTCCTTCCAATGGAGACAGGTGGGGCCACCTTTGTCCTCTTCCCAAAAGACCAAGAGGGAGGAGGAGCCAAAGAAGATCCAGAAAGGCAAAATATTAAAAACATTTCCAAGTGTTTGTTATTTCTAATGGAAAAGAGGAATCCAAGGGCTGGACTGAGCTGTCTGGAGATGCACAGAGATGTTGGTTGGAAGGAACCACCAAGGTCATCTCGCCCCTTTGCCCACTCAGAGCAGGACATTGCCAGGCTCTCTCTTACCAGTTCCTGAAGTCCTCCAAGCTTGGAGATCCACCATTTCTCCAGGCAACCTGTGCCAGTGTTGGCTTGTCCTCCTGATGAAGAAGTTCCTTCATCCTATCCCATATGAACCTCCCAAGCAACAACTTGTGGCCATTGTCTTGACTGAGGAACACTGAGATGGAGCAAAACCAAGGGCTGGGTCAACAGGGTCCACCATGCCATGGCTTAAAATGAAATAGGTTCTTGCATCTCCCCTGTCTTAAATGACAACTCTTAAGGTTTTGGAAGGACTCAGAACATTAATGAGAGTTTTTGTTGGCTATTTGAGACCTTAACCTTTGGGAAGAGAGGTGGGAGAAGGCCACAGAGGAGCTGCAAAGCCCCTGGGGGACATGGTCAGTGAATTCCCTCCAGTGTGGTGTTGCAGTGTAGGTGAGGGTGAGGAGATCATTGCAGGTGGAAGGTGATGCTGGGGAAATGGTTCTTGTAAGGAGAAGATCCCAACTGAGGGCAGAAGGAGTCAACCTGTGTCCATGGAGAGCACATCCATGGGCACGTTCAGCAGAGCATCTGCCCCCTTCCCCTGCGGGTGCTTTGGGGGATATTTTCTTCCATCTCTGACCTCCTTTTCTTCCTCCAGCTGCCTCCTACACAGACAGCTCTGATGATGAGACCTCCCCCCGAGACAAGCAGCAGAAGAACTCCAAAGGCAGCAGTGATTTCTGTGTCAAAAACATCAAGCAGGCAGAGTTTGGGCGCCGAGAGATCGAAATTGCTGAACAAGGTAAATGGGGCACGTTCCTCAAGCTCCAGGTTGTCCTGAGCTGCCTCGTGGGCTTCTTCCTTCCCCCCTCAAATCCTCCTTTTGGGAAGTTCAGTATATTGGGAAGTTCTTGACGCTGTTCCCACTGGAGATGGGACGAGTTCTCTGGGATTTTGTGGGATGGAAAGGAGTTCCAGGCTTACCCCCTGTAGCTACAACCAACCAGCTGCTGAAGGGCTGCTCCATGGCTGGTTGCATTTTGTTGAAATCAGTAGAGAAGATGGAAATCCTTCCACTTGGTGAGACAGCTTTGGTTTAGCATGATTGTCCTCAAAAATCCACAGCAAACACGTGGTGTCCAGGTGGTTGGAGAGATCTTGGAGAGCAAGTCCCGAGTCTTCCAAGGTCTGAAGGGAGATTCTCCTCCAGCCTCACCTGGCCAAGTAGAAATGAGAAACTGTGATGATGCTAAATCCCAAATAACAGGGAAAAACCAAAACCCCCAGAAGGTTGTTTGGGTCTTTTCATGATTTATTTGATCCCTGCCCTCAAGGATTTCACTTGTTTTTTTGAAGCTGGTCAGACTCATGGGAGAGCAGGGCAAGAAGTGATGCTGTGATGCTCTTCCTTCTCTGCTTCCATCAAGAGGGAATGGGGAAAAAAAATAAATGGTCTTTTTTATTCCTTTTGCCTTTCAGAAATGCCTGCACTGATGGCTTTGAGGAAGAGAGCTCAGGGAGAGAAGCCACTGGCCGGGGCCAAGATCGTGGGCTGCACACACATCACAGCACAGACAGCTGTAAGATCCCCTCCAGAAACTCCAGACAGGGACTTTCCACTCTAAAATAGACCCTGAGCAGTTAAGGTAGATATATACACTCTGCAGACAGAAGGTACTTGGGAGTTCCCACTGACTTCATCCCTTTTCAGTTGTAAACCAAAATAAAATGGCAAAGCCCCTGAAACGCCCCTTAAAAACCACCCTCAGATCCAACCCCCAGGAACTCCCCTGGAGAGCAAGGGACAACCCCAGCTCTGTGGTGTTCTTTCTGTTGGATGTTGCTCTTCCTGATGGCTTTGTGGTTTAAATCCAGGTGCTGATGGAGACCCTGGGAGCCCTGGGTGCCCAGTGCAGATGGGCTGCCTGCAACATCTACTCGACCCTCAATGAAGTGGCTGCTGCCCTTGCTGAGAGTGGTAGGAAACTTCCCCCTCTTTCTTCTTTCTGGCTTTAAAAAGATTCCTTTTGAAATCATATTTAGCTTGTTTACCATCTCTGGGAGGTTTGTTTTTTCCCTTCATTCTCTTTGAATAAACCTAGAGGAGGCCAACAGCACAAGGTCAGTCCCTTCCATGGGGCAGGAAATCCTGGAATGTTTTTTTTCTGGGGTGTCAAAGTGCTTTGCACAACTAGTGATGAGGCACATGAGAAGCTCTCAGGGCCGTGTGGACCTGGAAGTTCTTTTGGTGAAAGAACTGGAGCTGAATTTAACTTCAGTTCTAGGTGTTTGAGTCAAAACTTTGGCTAAAAAGGGTGAGAGGAAAAATCTGGGGGGGACACATAATTCAACCAATGGAAGCTGCTCATGTTCATAGAATGATGGAAGGGTTGGGTTGGAAGGGACCTTCAAGATCATCCAATTCCAACCCCCCTGCACGGGCAGGGACACCTCCCACCATTCCAGGTTGCTCCAAGCCACATCCAACCTGCCCTTCAACACTGCCAGGGATGGGGTCAAAATGTTGCTGCTTACCTGGGAGATGCCTTCATTCCAATCCTCTTTTTCTGGGTTGAAGGGCAGGGTTTTTACTGGGAGAGGCTGGGAGACCCAGAAGAAGCCAAAGCCACCAGTTTGCCTGCTCCCTGGTCTTGCACACTGAAGCTGAATAATAATAATTGCTCGTTAGTCAGAATGAATTTGTAGCTCATGGGCCTAACAGGAAAGTGGGACATCTGGAACTTCCTCTGGCAGTGTTGAAGGGCAGGTTGGATGGGGCTTGGAGCAGCCTGGAATGGTGGGAGGTGTCCCTGCCCATGCAGGGGGGTGGAACTGGATGATCTTCAAGGTCCCTTCCAACCCAAACCACTCTGCAATTCTTTGATCTAACAGCCCAAGCTTGATTTTGCAATTAAATGTTATCACTGAGAGCATGTTGACCCCATGTCTGGTGGCCAGAGCTTGTCTGGGGGAAAGAGGAGGACACTGGGAAGGCTGAATCTGACTCCTGCCTGCTGTCTTCAGTGGGTGTCCTCAACATCCACCTCCAGAGCTGCTTCTAGAAGGTGGATGTTGACAGATGAGAACTGTGGGCAGGAGCGTGGTGGTGTTGGGACCCCACTTCATCCCGTGGGGCTGGAGGGGAGAGCTGGTGCCCCAAGGGGTTTGCTCAGGCTGTGTCAGCACCCATCTCCCTCCCTCTCTGTGCCAGGGTTCCCTGTCTTTGCCTGGAAGGGAGAATCTGAAGATGACTTCTGGTGGTGCATCGACCGCTGCGTCAACGTGGAAGGCTGGCAGCCCAACATGGTGAGATGGGGGTGGCTCTCAGGTGCTTGGCTCATCTTGCACCTTGGGTGGCTCTCACCTTGAGAGGAGGAGGAGGGTTTGGTGCTTCTCTGTGTTCTCCTCCTGAATTTAGACCTAATTAAGTGGTCATTTGGTGCTAACACAACACTTCCCCTTCAGAGTGCTCTACAATTAACCACACAATGCAGGGAAAAAAAACGTTACCCAGGGAAGCTGTGGCTGCTCCATCTCTGGAGGTGTTGAAGGGCAGGTTGGATGGGGCTTGGAGCAGCCTGGAATGGTGGGAGGTGTCCCTGCCCATGCAGGTGGGTTGGAACTGGATGATCTTTAATGTCCCTTCCAACTCAAACCAGTCTGGGATCCTCTGATTCTATGAAATGAACTCATCTCTGTCTCACAGAAGAGTCAGGGAGGAGGTGGGTTAAGTGACTCCTGGATGTGGGTCTCAGCCACCAAGCAAGGTTTTGTTTAACTGCTTCCTAAAGAGGTTGGTTCAGTTTGCTTCCAGAGGAGCTGGCTACAGTTTCAACCTAACTCACTTCATCTACCCCATAGCACCTTCCAGTGCCTGAAGGGGCTCCAGGAAAGCTGGGGAGGAGCCTCTTACAAGGGCTTGAAGTGAGAGGAGAAGGGGGAATGGATCAAAACTGGAAGAGGGAGTTTTAAGTGAGACATGAGAAGGAAGTTCTTTAGTGTGAGGGTGGGGAGACCCTGGCCCAGGTTGCCCAGGGAAGCTGTGGCTGCCCCATCCCTGGCAGTGTTGAAGGGCAGGGTGGATGGGGCTTGGAGCAGCCTGGAATGGTGGAAGGAGTCCCTGCCCATGCAGGGTGGTTGGAACTGGATGATCTTTAAGGTCCCTTCCAACCCAAACCCTTCTGTGATTCCATGATTCTCCCTTTGGGTAGCTCAGAAGAGAGGAGCTGGCAAACCTGGCCAAAGAAGCAAGACCTCTCTGGTCTGTGCAGTCTCAGGGCTGAAGCTGGATGGACCTGGTCCTCTCCATGTGCAGGTTTTCAGAGCCTGCATCATATTTTTTCCTGTCCTGTTGAGATGAGTCCCTCCCATATCCTGACTCAAGGAGACACATCCACAGGTTGCAGGATAGACCCTGAGCTGCTGCTGCTCCATCTCCATTTCCAACCTTCTGCATCTTTAAGCTCTGTAAGGAGAAGCCCAAGCTCTGTTTCTACTTTCTACAGCAAAATGGGTCTAAGTAGTTGAGCCCTAAGCCACGTGGATTTCATATCAGGGCTTGAGATCCACCCCAGGAGCCCTTCAGTGGCCCCCACCAGCCTCATGGCCAGGTGGGCACTGCAAGGTGTGATGGAGCCAACCTTGTACATCCCATGGAAATGGGTCTGGATGTCTCAGATTCCAGAAATGGGAATATTTAATGCTGGGGCTTCTGTGTGGTGCTAGTCCATGGGAGCAGTTAGCCACCAACACTGAGTCTCCAGAAAAACCCCTCTGATGGGGACACAGACCTCCAGAGAAGTGGTCTGGGCAGGAATGGCTTGGGAGGGGTTTCTGAAGAGCACCCAACCTCCAGCACTGAGGGTTTGGTTCCCTCTGCAGCAGCAAGTGCTCTAGGACCACACTGCCACCAGGGAGGGGGGTTGGTGCCTCCTCCAGCTCTGCCTTCCTGCCATCTCCTTGAGCTTTCACCAGGTCTTCTTGTGCAGTGAGTTGTTTTCAACCACCTTGAGCCAATCCCAGGCAATTTTAATCAGCTTGGCTTTGGTGAGATCAGCCCCAGGTATCAGCTGTTGCCCCAGCAGAGGTGGAAGGAGGGGACAGGGTGAGACATTTGGTGGCAGTGGAGGGATTAAAAATGTTTCTTTCATGGAAGAGCCAGAGATCTTCTGCTGGAGAAGCTGGGAAATGAAAGGACCAAAGGAGTGAGAAGTCACAGCAACGTGCAGTTGGTGACTCGGAGAGAAAAGCACCAAGAGAAACACCTACCAAGGGGATCCAGATACACAGAGGATGGTCCCATCTCCAAGGAATGTCCCCTCAGGCACGGGGTGATAGGAAGGTGTTTTTAACATGCTCTGCTCCTGAGGTGGAGCTGCCAAAACCCAGAGGGAGGTTGGTGAACCCAGCTGGGAGCCCTGGGTTGCGGATGGTGCCTCTTGGTGAGGGCATCAGGCAGAACATCTCTTTAACAGCTGCTTTTCTGCCTGAAAAACTCTGCACATCAACTAAAGGCTACTTTATTTTTTTTCTCAGGAATAAAACCAACCAAACAACACCCACCTGGGAGGAATTAGAGTGTGTAAATCTGAGAAAACTGCAGGAATTTGGGGCACATTCCACGGGCTTGGTGACCTCCATCACCAACCTGCTGCTTTGTTGGGGGGTTTTATTTTTCATCTCCCACCCCCCTGGGAAAGAGGAAAGTGCCAACCCCCAGAATTCTCACTCAGAAAGAGGATTATGTGCCCTATTAAAAGGGGATTAAGGAAATGAAGAGGCCCTGGGAGCCAGGCTGCTGAATTCCTACCTCGCTGGCCCAGGAGAGCATCTCAGCCCACTTAACCCTTCCCTGCCTCTGCTTCCCAAACAAGATCTGGGGGTTCCCTGGAGACTCAGGAGGGTCAGGTCTGCTTGGGAGACACATGCTCTGCTCTGGCAGGACACCCTGTGCTTTCTGGGTATTCACCTTCAGTGGGAAATCCTGCAATTTAGAGAGAAAAAGGTTGGGATCACATGTTTTTGGTGGCTCCATGAAGCCACCATGACATGTCCACAAAGCTCAGGAGCATTATCTTTGTGCCCATGGTGGGGCATCTGCTGCAGGAGCATGGTGGGAGTGGTAATTTTTCCTGAGTGGCTGTAGATGCTGTGGGAGAGCTGCAGATAACCTGGAGCAGAGGGTTCCTCCTGAGCTCCACCACCAGCCACTGAGCAGAGCTGCTTCTGCCCAGGCTTGATGTTGGCATTTGAGGACACCTGCACATCCCACCAGTAGGTCAGTAGGGGCTGGGTTGGCAGGCAGAAGTCTTGAATGTTGGTGTAGGAGACATGAAAGGAGGAGGAGGATGATGATAAGGACCATGCAAAGAGAATGAAGATGATGGTCCAGTCAGAAGTCTTGAATGTTGGTGTAGGAAACATGCAAGGAGGAGGGTGCAGTGAGAAATCTTTGGTGTTGGTGCAGGGGAGGAGCAAAGAGGATGATGAAGATGACAGGGAAGGTGCAGAGAGGAGGAGGAGGATGATCATGGTGATGATGGAGTCACAAGTCTTCAGTGTTGGTGTAGGGACCAAGCAAAGAGGAGGAGGAAGATTCAGTCAGATGTGTTGAACGTTGGCATAGGGAACATGCAAAGAAGATGATGATGATATAGGCTAATGTCCTCAGGTCCTTGGCATTTCACCTGCTGCTGGGTGACATCTGCTCCCTGTTGTTTCTTCACCCTAAGTCTATTGGGGGGTTGTCACACTTCCCACCTTGCCTGGCCCCCCTGAGGCCACCAGGCTGGCAGGAGGACTTGAGGAAATGCACCTGGTTGGATTGTTGGGTTTTTTTCCTGGATCTTCTTTCCCAGGCACCTCTTTGTGGTGCCCCAGTGGGTCCTTCTTTGAAGCCTGTGGAGCTCAGCCCCCTCCTGGGGTTCAGCTGAGGGTTGAGGTGAAGCAGGAGATGACCCAGAGTGGCTGGGACTGGGGCCACGTTGGTTATGAGGCAGGTGTGTAGGACACAAACAAGACTCCTGGTGAACCCCATGGGCTCTACCTGCTCAGCTGTCCTGTTTTGTCCAGGTGGTCTCTGGCTTTCTCCACTGCCCTGAGATGGGCACTTGAGGAGGAAATGGGTGACCTGGGAGAGCCATGATCTGGTAAAGGAGTTTTGTACTTCTGAGGCTGAGGTTGAAAGGCAGGTGAAGCTGGAGACCCAGAGCTGGTGTCTAAAGTAGGGTCAGGATTTTTGATGCGTGTTTAATGATGCAGCTGCTTCATCATTTCCCACCTCAACATGAGGAGAAACTTCTTCACCCTGAGGGTGACAGAGCCCTGGGCCAGGCTGCCCAGGGAGGTGGTGGAGTCTCCATCCCTGGAGACATTTCCAAAGCCACCTGGACATGTTCCTGTGGGATCTGCTCTAGGGGATCCTGCTCTGGCAGGGGGGTTGGACTAGAGGTCCCTTTCAACCCCAACCACTCTGTGACTCTGTGGTTTGCAGTAGTGGCTCTGCACCTTCCTCCTCCTTCTCCATCCTCCTCTTTATCCCACTCCTTCTACATCCTCCTTGTTCTCCATCTTCCTCCATCCTTCCCCATCCTCCTCCTTCCCCATTCTCCTTCCCCATCCTCTTCCTTCCCCATCCTCCTCCTTCCCCATCCTCCTCCTTTCCCCCCCTCCCCCCCCCCCTCTCCCCCCCCCTCCCATCCTTCCCCATCCTCCATCCTTCCCCATCCTCCATCCTTCCCCATCCTCCATCCTTCCCCATCCTCCATCCTTCCCCATCCTCCATCCTTCCCCATCCTCCATCCTTCCCCATCCTCCTCCTTCCCCATCCTCTTCCTTCCCCATCCTCCTTCCATCCTTCTCCATGCTCCTTCTTCTCCACACTCCTCCATGAGCAGCCATGTCAGAAGAGCTGGTGCCCACATACAGTTCAAAGGCTTTTCCATCTGTGCTCTGGGAGATGAGGAGGAAGGAGCTTCCACAGCATTTTTCCATGTTTCCTCTGGTCTCAGGGCAAACATCAAGGTCTGCCACGTGTGTCTGACCTGCTGCCTTTCCAGCATGGTATCCATGGTGGGCTTAGTCTCCCCTAAGCCCTCATGGTGTGGTACCTGAAATGCCAAAACATGGGCTTGCTGAGGCACATCTGAGCATGGGGTTTACCCCTTGTGCCTTTTTGGGGTCAGCAGCTCAGACTGGATCTTCAGAGTGGTGACTCTGTGGTTATTTCATTGCAGATCTTGGATGATGGAGGAGATCTGACTCACTGGATTTACAAGAAATACCCCAACATGTTCAAGAAGATCAAGGGGATTGTGGAGGAGAGTGTGACTGGTGTCCACAGGTAACAGGACAGGCTGGACTGTGGGCATGGAGATGTTTGGGCAGAAAACCCATCTTCTGCCTCAGGGCAAAACATCTCCAGGCTGTGAGATGCCACAGACTTGGCTGGATGTTCAACCTTCTCCTCTGTGGTCTGTGGTTTTCCTTCACTTGGGCTTGGCTTTGCCAGGGAGCTGTTCTAAACCTCTGGCTCAGGGAATTGACTTGGAGCTGCTGCCCCGAGTTGCAAAGGAGGAGCAGAAGCTCCTGCTGATCATTGTGCACCTGGGAAAATTGCACAAGGTCTTGTTTGTCCAGCTGGGAAATGGGGGCAGTGGTTGTTTCACCTTCCTTTGCAGCTGAGAGAAGGAAGGGGTGAGGGTGCTGGACAAGAAGGAGGGTCATGACAAGAAGGACCTGGAGGGGCTGGAGCAGAAGGAGAAGGGGCTGGAGAACTTGTGAGGAGCAGCTGAGGGAGCTGGGGGTGTTGAGCCTGGAGCAAAGGAGGCTGAGGGGAGACCTTCTGGCTCTGCAGCTGCCTGAGAGGAGGTTGGAGCCAGGGGGGTCGGGCTCTGCTCCCCAGGAACAAGGGACAGGACAAGAGGGAACGGCCTCAAGTTGTGCCAGGGGAGGTTGAGGTTGGATCTGGGGAACAATTCCTGCCTGGCAAGGGTTGTCAGGGCCTGGCCCAGGCTGCCCAGGGCAGGGGGGGAGTCCCCATCCCTGGAGGGGTTTCCAAGCCCTGGAGATGGTGCTGAGGGACAAGGGGCAGGGCTGGGGGAACAGTTGGACTGGATGGTCTTCAAGGTTTTTTCTAACCCAAATGACTTGATGTTTCTCTAAGAAGGAGGGGTGGGCTTTGGAGAGCCAAAGTCTTCTCCTGCTCCTGGACTAAACCTATGGGAAGAAGTGAGACTGGGGAAGAGGAACTGAGTCTCCAGGTGGTCCAGGAAGGGAGAACCTCCGAGATGCAGTGACTGAGAGACACCCATGGCTCTGTGATGGGAGAAGGGCCAGGAGAGGTGTCAGAGGTGCTTCCCCAGTGGAGTTATCCATATCCCAGGTGGCAGAGAAGAGGGGACAGAGGAGAAGAGCAGCAGACTCTACTTCTTCCTCTACCCTTGCAGGAGGAGAGGCCTGGCTGCAGCTCCTGGAGCTCTGAGGGGAAGGAACCTCCAATGGGGAAACGAAAGACATGAGGCAGGAAAGTGTCTGGGTCAGGTCTGCAGCCCCTGGGGTCAGGAGAGGAGCTTGGTGGTGATGTTTGCAGCATCAGGAATCGTCCCCATGTGGGCAGAAGAGCTGTGGAGGAGCTAAGTAGGGTTAGAAACTGTTCCCCATGGTCTTGGGCCAGGAGCAAGGTTGTTTTCTGAGGTTGGTGGCATCAGTGGGGGGTTGTGTGCTCCTGACCTCCAGGGGACAGACAAGGTGAGGACTGAAGCTCCCCAGATGAATGGGGAGAATCCTGGAAATGGTCTGCAGAGACTGACCAAGGGAACAGGTTCTCCTTCCCATGGTCTGCAGAGACTGACCAAGGGATCAGGTTCTCCTTCCCATGATCTGGAGCAGGGAGATGGGTTTTAGATGCTTTTCACAGTCATGGTGTAGAGTTTAGGTTCATTTCTAGTGGTTTTGCTGCTGCCAGGAGTTCAGAAGTAGATCAGGTTGGTGTCTTTTCCACCCTGATGGCTTCTTGTGCTCCATCTTGGTGTTTCCACTCCTGCTGCTGTTCCAGTGGGTGTTTTGCTGCAGGTGTTGATCACCTTGCTGTGGATGTTCCTCTTCTGTGGCCACTTCTGTGCCTCTTGAGCTGGAAGAGCTTGAGGAATCACAGGAGCTCTCATCTTAGGTTCTCTGAAGCAGGATTTGGGGCTTTGTCCTTTGGAGGACATGAGAGGATGGTTGTGATATCAAGTCATGAGGCACGTGGAGCCTGGAGCACCTTCTGATGTGCTGTTTGATGTGGTTTATGAAATGCTTCTTGCCAGCCTGGCAGCTCCCTGGCAGGGGAGGGAAATGGTACAAACATCCATGGAAGGACAAGTTCTCCTGCTCCTCCTGGAATGAGGAGCTCCTCAGGAGAGGTCATCTTTGACCCTCCAGATGTCTACTGCTTGCTCCAGCAAAACAAGACCCAGCAGTCAAGTGTAGGGCAATATTTTCCCATTGATCATTTGCTTCTTCCCATCTTGGTTCCAGGCTCTACCAGTTGTCCAAAGCAGGGAAGCTCTGTGTCCCAGCCATGAATGTCAACGACTCGGTCACCAAGCAGAAGTTTGACAACCTGTACTGCTGCAGAGAGTCCATCCTGGATGGGTATGTACATGGTCATAGGACCATGGGATGGTCTGGGTTGGAAGAGACCCTAAAGATCATCTGGTTCCAACCCCCCCTGCATGGGCAGGGACACCTCCCACTAGAGCAGGGTCACCCAAACAGGGCTGTGTCCCTTGCTTGGGTTCCATCAGACCCCACAGTCCATGGGTCTGTCCTACCTGCCAGTTCTGGTCCTTTTAGACCATTTAATAGCTCTGGTCCATCCTAGATGGAACCACCAAGGCAGTTTGAGGCAGCAACCAAGTCTCTGTGGGTCAGAAGGTTCCTAAGAATCCCAGAATGGTTTGGGTTGGAAGGGACCTTAAAGCTCATCCAGTTCCAACCCCCCTGCATGGGCAGGGACACCTCCCACCATTCCAGGCTGCTCCAAGCCCCATCCAACCTGCCCTTCAACACCCCCAGGGATGGGGCAGCCACAGCTTCTCTGGGCAACCTGGGCCAGGGTCTCACCACCCTCACAGAGTTTCTCTCTCTACCTCTCTTTTTTTCCCCCTCTATTCTGATGGAACAGGGTTTCTGTGTCCTCACCACCCCCAGCACCATCTTTTGTCAAAGCCCAGTGAGATGAGGACAGGTTTTATTCTTGCAGTTCAGCCTGTGACACGTTGTAGTCCCAGGAGACAAAGTGGGCCCAGAAGCAAGGACAGAGTTGAATTCCCAGACATGGATGTTGCTGCTGCTGAGATGAGCACCAGAGGGGAGGTTGCCTGGTCTGGGCCAGGTGCCTGGGGGGTGGAGAGACCCTCCATGGAGAAAGCCCCTCCATGGGGCCTGCAGGAGAGGTGGGGAGGGACTTTGGACAAGGGCTTGTAGTGAGAGGCCAAGGGGAAATGGGTTAAAACTGGATGAGGGAAGATTTAAGTTGGACATGAGGAGGAAATTCTGGGCTGTGAGGGTGGGGAGAGCCTGGCCCAGGTTGCCCAGGGAAGCTGTGGCTGCCCCATCCCTGGGGGTGTTGAAGGGCAGGTTGGATGGGGCTTGGAGCAGCCTGGAATGGTGGGAGGTGTCCCTGCCCATGCAGGGGGTTGGAACTGGATGATCTTTAAGGTCCCTTCCCACCCAAACCCTTCTGTGATCCTATGAACACACCATGATGAAGTAATTCTAATTGAGGAGCCCTTAATTCTTCTCATCCAGGAGACCTTTGCTCTTTAGGACATCTCTGTGGCTTCCAGACACACAAGGCAGCCCCTCTCCTGGGGATCAGCTGCCCTGGGGAGAGTTGCCCCCCACATTTTAGGTGTCCCAGGACACAACTTCCAACTCCCATGTCCCACCTCTGGTGGGTGTCACAGGCGACCAAGAAACCTGAACATCTTTCCAACCTTCTTTGTCTTCTTGTTCTCAGCTGTGGGGGCTGGTGGGACCTCATGGGGAGGCAGGTGGGGCTTTGAGCCTGGCCCAGGCATCTCAGGTGGGCCAAGGGAAGGATGAGCAGAGGTGGAATGGAATCTGATGGGGTTTTTTCTCTTGGAATGAGTTTGGAAATGGGAGGGAATTTCACCTTCCCTGCACTGCTAACCTAGTTAGTGCTGGGCTAAAAATAGCCTGGAATGTAGGACACACTTTGGGGGAATCCAGGAGGAGAGGAGAGTTGGGTTTGTGGCTTCTGGCAGGAAATTCCCACTCTCTTCCCTCTCCTGGAGTTACATTTTTGGGGGCTGGGGGGTGTTTTGACTTTAGGAAAATACCAGATGAAGAGCAGAGTTTTGGAAAAGCTTTTCAATGTTCCTGGAGGGCCAAAGGAACCACAAAATTAAAACCAAAGAAGGGATCCAAGCCCCAACTCCTTCCTCCTCCTTGCACTTCCTGGGGACACCCACCCCTTCCCAAAGGAAAAGAGGTTCTAGGTGCCCTGTGGGGTCTGTGCCCCCAGGGTTTCCCTGTGTCCTGGTGGCTGAGGAGCCACCTCTGCCCTCCCCTGCTGCTCTGTGACTGTTGGGTGCTCTGTTCCCTTTTCCAGGCTGAAGAGGACAACAGACATGATGTTTGGGGGCAAGCAGGTGGTGGTTTGTGGCTATGGGGAGGTAAGGAGCTCACCTTTCCCACCTGGAATGGGCTCAGCCCTTACCCACCTGGGCTGCTCTGTCCTCCTGCCTCCTCTTGGCACCTGCAGGGACCTCCAGACTTGGCAGCTTTGCCAAAACTGCAGGATTTCTCAGCATTTCCAGTCTCATTCTTTAGTATTAAAAACCAAAAAAAAGATACTGAGCCTGGATCTGAAAAGACATGAGGGTGAAGTATCCTGAGTACCCTCCATACCTGGGCATTGAAATAATCCTGCATTCATATAGTTACAGTATATCTTGATTGTCTATCATTATTATAGCTTGATTTTCTATTATGATTATATCTTGATTTTCTATTATTAGTATACATTGATTTTCTATTATTATTATACATTGATTTTCTGTTATTACTATACATTGATTTTCTATTATTACTATACATTGATTTTCTATTATTACTATACATTGATTTTCTATTATTACTATACATTGATTTCCTATTATTATTATACATTGATTTTCCATTATTATGATACATTGATTTTCTATTATTACTATACATTGATTTTCTATTATTACTATACATTGATTTTCTATTATTATACATTGATTTTCCATTATTATTATACATTGATTTTCTATTATTACTATACTTTGATTTTCTATTAATATTATATATTGATTTTCTACTATTACTATACTTTGATTTTCTATTATTACTATACATTGATTTTCTATTCTTACTATACATTGGTTTTCCATTATTATTATACATTGATTTTCCATTATTATGATACGTTGATTTTTTATTATTACTATACATTGATTTTCTGTTAATATTATATAGTGCTCTTCTATTATTACTACACATTGATCTTCTGTTATTTCTATATCTTGATTTCCTGTTACTATTCCATCTTGATTTTCTATTTCTAGACTCTGTTTCTCTGCCAGATATCATATTCTATTTAATATGACATGAAAAGATGAAAGCTCAGAGGCTCTGCAGGTGCCTCAGCCCCTCTCCTTTCACCCCCAAAATGAAGATTCCTCTGAGATCCCCCCCCTCTCTTGGGTGGTTCTTGTTGGGACCAGTTAACACCAGTTCCAGTTGGCTGGGCTGTGGGTGCTGTACTGGGATTTTTTTTTTGGAAAAAAGCTGAAATTGGGCAAATTCCTCCCACTGAGTTGCATTTTTGGGGAGACTTTGCTCATGGAGCTGTGACCCTGAGGTCCCCTGAGAGCTGCACCTCAAGTGCTGAGTGAAGATGAAAGCTCATTAACCCTTGGAGATTAAATGATTCAGCTTCCTAAGTAGGGTAAAGGTTTCAAGAGACTCTTAAACCTTCCATGAGATAATCTCTGGTTCTCCTGGTGCTTTCTAGTCACCAGGATGTTTGGGTGGGAAAAAAAAGATCCCCCTGGGGACCAAAACCAAAGGGGATTTATCCTTTTAGTGCCTCTCTCAGCCAACCTGGGGCTGACTCAGAGTCCTCCAAACCCAGCAAAGTCACCCCAAAAACCCACCCTCTGCCCCCCAGAGGGCTGCAAAGGTTCCTTGGGGGGGTGGGACACCCCCAAGCCCGTGGTCACCTGGATGCTCAGCAGCTCCTGAGCCTTCAGCATCTCACTCTTCCTCCCCCTCCCAGGTTGGCAAGGGCTGCTGTGCTGCTCTCAAGGCCATGGGCTCCATCGTGTATGTGACAGAGATTGACCCCATCTGTGCCCTCCAGGCCTGGTAAGCAGATGCACCCACAACTGCTCCTTCAGGCTTGTGTTTCCACCACCCACCCAGGAAAAAAAACCACAACCAGGGCGTGCTCAGCAAGGGTCCCTCCTGAGAAGGGGGGTTTGTGGCTTCTCTGCACCCTCAGAGGGACCCCCAGCTCCCTGCTCTGGCCACAGAAGAGCTGCTGCACTAAAGCATCACCCAGTTTATCCCATTGGGGCCAGTTGGCACAACCAGGGGCACTGGGGACAAGAGTTTAATGACATAGGATCTTAGAATGGTTTGGGTTGGAAGGGACCTTAAAGATCATCTAAATCCAACCCCCCTGCATGGGCAGGGACACCTCCCAGCAGCCCAGGCTGCTCCAAGCCCCATCCAACCTGCCCTTCAACACCCCCAGGGATGGGGCAGCCACAGCTTCTCTGGGCAACCTGGGCCAGGCTCTCCCCACCCTCACAGCCCAGAATTTCTCCCTCACATCTCATCTCCAGCTCCCTCTTCCAGCTGGAAACCCTTCCCCCTGCTCCCATCCCTCCCTGCCCTTGTCCCAAGCCCCTCCCCAGCTTTCCTGGAGCCCCTTCAGGCACTGGAAGCTGCTCTAAGGTCTCCCTGGAGCCTTCTCTTCTCCAGGCTCAACACCCCAACTCTCCCAGCCTTTCCCCACAGGAGACAGGCTGGAAAGATGGAACAAGATGGCTTGAAACACTGTCATTATTTCCTGGAAGACTTTACCACTGTGGCCTGAAGGGCTGTTGGGAAGTGCAGTTTGACCTTTGGGGATCCCCTGCTGCACCCCCCTTCAGTGAGGGCTCTTTTGGCCTTCTCTGTGCTCACCCACCCCTCACAAACCTCACCCCCCAAAGCAGGACACTCAGCTTCCCCTCCCAGGGCCACGTTGCACTGACACCCACTTGTTTCCTCCAGAAAAAGGGTGTTTTGGTGTTGCTGCTTCATCCCAAGGCTCGAGGTGGGACCTGACCCTGACCCCAGAGCCCCCAAACCACCCACAGCCTCATGAAAACCCACAGCCCCTTCCTAAACCAACCTTCCAAAGGGCTGTGGTGTTGAGGAAACTAATGAGCCCTGCTTAATTAGCAGAGCTGATCAACTTTGAGGTTCCTTTATGGCCTCCACGAGTGGCACATCCAGCAGCTCCTCCTGAGTCCTGAGTGGGGTCATTTGCAGCAAAACCCCTTCCCTGCCTCTGCAACAGGGCAGCCCCCCCTGGGAAGGAGTTTGAAGTGGGGGGAAAAAAACCCAGCAAATGGGACAGGCAGCAGGGAAAAAAAAGTGACATTTTTTTTTATAGTAACTGTGATTTTGCAGCTTCTCAGGGGCTTGGGAGGAGTGTCAACAAATCCTAAAAAAAAACCCCTCATCCTGCCCTGGTTAAGTGATGTGCTGGATGCACCTTGATGAGTGAAGTCAGGGAGGACTTGGGGAGTGCTCCACACTCCCAGAGGTCCTGGAGGTGCCTGAATCTGGATGGCAAAGCTGGTGATGGAGACCTGTGGGGGTCTGGGGGAGTTGGGTTTTAAGATGGTTTGAATCCCCCTCGGGCAAGGTTCTGTAGCAGGAGGGTGTAGCTGCATCTCCTGGTGTGCTTGGCAGGAGCAGCAGGTTTGAAAAAAAAAGCTTTTAGTTGGCAATGGAGATTTGAAGGGGTGGAGACCTGGACAGAAAATGTGAAACCCTCCTAAAAAAATCTCTTTTCACTTCTCCCTGCAATAGTCCCAACCCCTCCCCCCCCCCAGGTTGGCTCCAGGAACCCTCCTGATGGGCTGTGTGGTCCTTCCCCTGCTGCTCCTCTTTTCCAGTGTGCATTAGAAAATGAAAATGAGCATCTAAGGAATAAGTGATGGGGGGATGGGACCTTCCCCCCCCCATTTTTAGCATGTTTTTGCTGCTTCTCACACTGCTTCTCCCCCCCTCCCCTTAGCATGGATGGATTCCGGCTGGTAAAGCTCAACGAAGTCATCAGACAAGTTGACATTGTCATCACCTGCACAGGTATGAGGTCCCCGAGGCAGGAGGAGGGGGGGACAAGGGGTGTGGAGCCCATCACTGGGCCCATGGTTTTCCAGAGGAAAGGGCAGAAAGGTGAGGAAAGGGGATGTGGGTGTTGACCGTGGGTGTCTCCGGCAGGCAACAAGAACGTGGTGACCAGGGAACATCTGGACCGGATGAAGAACAGCTGCATTGTCTGCAACATGGGACACTCCAACACTGAGATCGACGTGGTGAGCCTGGGGACAGCTCGGGGTGGGTGACAGGGCCTTGGGACCCTCCCCCTGTCTGACCAGTGCCTCTTCAGCAAGCCCCTGGGAGGAGATAAAATCATCCATCGCTCCTCGAGTCCCACAGACACTGGCAGATGTGGCCACCTCCTTCCTGGGGCCCCAGGGAGTCAGAGGAGCTTCCAGACTAGGTGCTTGGTGCCCACCAGCCTCATTCCTTCCCCTGGAGCTGAGGGAGAAAAATCACAGACATCTCAGTCTTCTACAACTCCTTGGAAGGAGGTTGGAGCCAGGGGGGGTCGGGCTCTGCTCCCCAGGTGATGCTCAACCCCACCAGGCTCTACTGAGCAGGGCTGAAATGGGCTGGTTTGTGCTTAGAAAAGCAGGAGAGTCTTGTCTAAAGGCCAGAGGAGAACTCCTTGGCCAAACCCATGACCACCCTGCAGGGCTGGGGCCACCTCTGGGGTCCCCAACACAGGAAGGACATGGAGCTGTTGGAGAGAGGCCAGAGGAGGCCCCAGAGATGCTGGGAGGGCTGGAGCAGCTCTGGAGCCAGGCTGGGAGAGTTGGGGTGTTGAGCCTGGAGAAGAGAAGGCTCCAGGGAGACCTTAGAGCAGCTCCCAGTGCCTGAAGGGGCTCCAGGAAAGCTGGGGAGGGGCTTGGGACAAGGGCAGGGAGGGATGGGAGCAGGGGGAAGGGGTTCCAGCTGGCAGAGGGAGCTGGAGCTGAGATGTGAGGGAGAAATTCTGTGCTGTGAGGGTGGGGAGAGCCTGGCCCAGGTTGGCCAGGGAAGCTGTGGCTGCCCCATCCCTGGGGGTGTTGAAGGGCAGGTTGGATGGGGCTTGGAGCAGCCTGGGCTGGTGGGAGGGGTCCCTGCCCATGCAGGGGTGGGACTGGATGGGCTTTGAGGTCCCTTCCCAGCCAAACCATTCCATGATCTAAAGCCATTTCTGGGGCTGCAGAGCTAGCAGAGCCCACCTGGCTGGGGGAAGAAGTGACCACAGCCATGACCATGAATCCTCTTCAGCCAGGAAAGCTAGAAGGGTGGTTGTTGCTGGAGCTTTGATGTGTTGCCATCCTAAAACCAGTTCCAGGTTATGATTCATAAAGGTTTTACTGCTCTGGGAGTGTGACCAGGCCCAAAGGGAATTAGAAACCCCGGGACAACATTGAGTTGCTTCCTCTTTTCCTTCCTGTCATGTTGCTTCTGGGTGTTTGATCTTTGCCCAGTGCTTTCTTTAACTGTCTGCACACCCTGTTTCAGGCCAGCCTACGTACCCCTGAGCTGACCTGGGAGAGGGTGAGGTCCCAGGTGGACCATGTCATCTGGCCAGATGGGAAGAGAATTGTCCTTCTGGCAGAGGTGAGTGGTGGGCAGTGCAGGGGGGGCTGCAGCCTGGGCTCTGCTGCTGGAGGGAGGATGAAGGGCTGGATGAGCCCAAGTGCTTCCAGAAATCACCTCCTTGGGCCTCAGCAGCTCAACCTCTGGTTGGAAGGTTTGGTGTGACCCTGGTTTTGGCCCATGTAGTTCCTGGAATGTGGAAAAGCTCTGGTGTTTTCCTTTGTCCCACCCCAGAGAATTGGATTGGATTTGTTTTCACTTCTAAATAGTTTTACTGAGTTATTAGGGCACCAAGAACTTGGTGTTCAAGTGACTGTCCAGAGAACGTGTTAGAGGAGCAGCTGAGGGAGCTGGGGGTGTTGAGCCTGGAGCAAAGGAGGCTGAGGGGAGACCTTCTGGCTCTGCAGCTGCTGAGAGGAGGTTGGAGCCAGGGGGGTCGGGCTCTGCTCCCCAGGAACAAGGGACAGGACAAGAGGGAACGGCCTCAAGTTGTGCCAGGGGAGGTTGAGGTTGGATCTGGGGAACAATTCCTGCCTGGCAAGGGTTGTCAGGGCCTGGCCCAGGCTGCCCAGGGCAGGGGGGGAGTCCCCATCCCTGGAGGGGTTTCCAAGCCCTGGAGATGGTGCTAGGGACATGGGGCAGTGGGGACTGGGCAGGGCTGGGTTAAGGGTTGGACCTGATGATCATCAAGGTCTTTCCCAACCCAAACAGTTCTACAAATGGTGAGTCAACCCAGCAGGGACACCTTTCACCGGGGGTTCTTCTACCTCCTGTAGGGTTGTGAAGTGTTAGTGGTGCCACGTG